CGGATAAGTGAAGGATAAGAGAATCACTGCATATCAGTTAGGCTTTCAAATTTTTTCCTTTTCTTCCTAAATTTCAAAATGGTATTAATTGCTGAATTAATCCCGTAAGAAAAAGAGGGGAAGAGGGGGAGGCTAAAAAACAAACAAACAAAAAAAAAACAACAAGACCTTCTAAGGATCACAGCACCACAGACAGTAGTGAAAAAATCTAACAAATACAATTCAGTTCAGTGAATTGACTCTAGCTGTAACCACGGATAATGGTTCATACGTTCTCAACCAGCCTGCCCACTTGCTCTCACTCAAAACCTCTTTTAAAACCTATGAGGGGATTCCTTCCAGGTTTTTGTACAAATTCCAGCAAAACTTCTGCATTTTCAAGGTTACAGAGTAACAGATGAGTAAAGTTGTATCTTCATTCTGAAGCATAGAACAATGAATGGAGTAAGTATCAGATGGTTCATTATTAAAGCAGAATTTTTATACAGCCTGTCACTGAGAGGCTAAATTGGAACTCAATCAACAAAAGCTGATTCTATTGACCTCAAGGATATTAATGTTTTACAATGCATTTTTGTAGCTCTAAGCACTTAATTTATTACCCAATCAAAATACAAGGAAAAAAATCTGACAAGCAAATAAAGAAAATAGGTTTGCAAGAGAAAGTACTGTATTCTAGAACTTGAGAAAGGTTGTACAAACAACTGGGAAGAAAATGAAATAGTAAAATCACATATTGTATTACCAAAGAACAGATAATGCAGTTGAGCATGACTCATCGTTGCAGCTAAATGATGGCACTGCATACAAATGCCACATAAAAAAAAAAACCACTGTGTTGTATCTTCGCTTGCTTGGGTAGGTGCCTCTGGAGGTTACCAAAACTGCTGAAAGCTTACAATCTTTTTTTGCATTATGAATATGCTATAAATAGAAAAACTGGGAGGTGAAGGTTAAGGTTCCACAAATTTCAGAAGAACACCTACTTCTAAATTTTTCTTCTACTTCACCCTAGCCTGTTAGTTTAAAATCGCTGAGGCATACTCAATATTACATAAATCCCAAACATTAATATTTCAGTTGCTATTTAATTTAATGGAAACATTCTTTGAGACTGAGTAAGCCCATAAATTAATGACTTCTGTTAATGTCAGTCTCAAGAACACTGTCATCCCATTCTTCTACTGCTGAAAATGTTCTAAAGTTAGAGTAGCTTTGTAACTATATGTCAAGGACATTTTTGTTGCACACCTAAACACCACACTTACTCTTACTTTTTGAAAAAATAGTTGATTAAAGTAGCATGTACAATTTACACAGTATCTGAACAAAAGTCTCTATCAAAAGCGCAAACAAACCAAAACCAGTCTCTCTTCAAGAAAAGAATAAGGATAGGATAGGATAGGATAGGATAGGATAGGATAGGATAGGATAGGATAGGATAGGATAGGATAGGATAGGATATTGTTCAATTGCAAGGGACCTTCAGAGATCATCTAGTCCTACTGTCTGACCTCTTCAGGCATAACCAAATTTAAAGCATATTGTTGAGGGCATTACCCAAATATCTCTTGAACATTGACAGGCATGGGGCATCAACCACCTGTCTAGGAAGCCTGTTCCAGTGTTTGCCCACTCTCACAGTAAAGAATTTTTTCCTTATACCTACTCTGAACCCTCCTGGTGTAGCTTTGTGCCACTCCCATGCATCCTGTCATCAGTGACCAGGGAGCAGAGACTGGTGCCTCACTCTATGCTTCTCCTTCTCAGGATGTTGTAGAGAGCAATGAGGCTGCCTCTGAGCGTTCCCTTATCTACATTAGACAACCCAGTTGTCCTCAGCCTTTCCTCATGGGACATGCCTTCCAGCTCTTTCGCCAGTGCCATTGCGCTCCTCTGGATGATTGAAGGGTCTTTAACATCCTTTTTATATCACGGGGCCCAGAACCACATGCAATGTTCAAAGTCGGGCTGCACCAAGGCTAAATATAGTGAGCGAATCACCTCTTTTGACCAGCTGGCTGTGCTGTATTCAATGCATCCTAAAATGTGGTTTGCTCTCTTGGCTGCCAGGTCATCATCTGGTATCTTGTGAACCTGTTTATCTCACAGCTGGACAATTTGTCTAGAAGGATACCATGGGGGACAGTATCAAAGGCCTTACTGAAATCCAGAAGGATTACGTCCACTGCCTTCCCTTCATCCACCAACTGGGTGACCTGGTCACCTTAAATTTTACCTTAATTTTTCAAAAGAATCAGGTAACAACTAAGACAAATGCTGGCTTTTTGTTTCTTAGCCTACATACAAAATTGACATGAAGAAGCATATAAATGTAATATTCTGTTAATCACCTAAAACGTTTGTAAACTCAATAATCTTCTCACCTTTGCATAAGGTACAGGATCCCACAATAATTTAAATAGGAATAGTTTAGAAGTATATTCCACTTTAGTTTTTAATTTTAGTATATTTAATATTTTATAAGCAATGTTGCGTATTTTAATAGTTGTATGCAATTCTTCAGTATGATCAACTACCCAAACCAACAAGTACATTTGCTATATTTTAATGAAGTTTGTCAGAATGAGACTAACCCAGAAAAATTGGCAAACATTGATTTTAACCAGTACTTCTGCATAACTCTGTGAGAAAAGTCTCATTGCATAGAATTCATTTGTCTCCACTATTTATTTTGCTTTGCTGTTTGTTCTTTCTTTCTGCAGAGGTCCAGCATTGCCACTACCTCTGAGTGCTCACAACAAACTTTACAGGACCAGCATGCTGACCTAAGATATTTTCCTCTGTGAATCTGAGAGAAATGGAGGACCTCATTTGTCAGCATATCCAGTCATCTGCTTCTGTATGTGACCAGTGGCTTACAGTCTCTTTCCCAAAGTGCTCATGCTTCTTCCCCAAATCACGTATTCCTCTCATCTGCACAACTCCCCAAAATCTGTTGCAAAGCTTCCTCACTGAAGTGCTCATGAACCTTATATAATTTACAGCTTACATTAATTAATGCATGGTTTAGACACTTTTTTTTTTTGAAGTTCACAGTTACTACCTCTCCATACTGCATTTATCCAGTTCTTACCTTACCATTTTCACCAGATTTTTCTATTAAATGCCCCAGTAAGCCTTACTCTGTATTTTTTCATCATTCTATAGACTACTTTTCTCCCACACATTTACTCTAGCTACTTGTTATATATTATTATTTTTTTTTTAAATTGAATTTTACTTATTGGGAAATTCTCTAATAATTGAATCCCAACTACTGCCTCAAAGGTAAGCTTCTCGCCTGTTCTTAACATGCAGCAAAGGCAATTTCCCTGAAAGCCTCGACATGGTGCAAAAGTAAAGTTAAGGATAGGAATGACCAATCAAAAGAGATATTTTGTAATAGTTATGCTTTAAATCAACTTTTATTGCCTTTTTATGCTTCTATATTGTGGTTATTGTCACAGGAGTAACTGAAACTTTTAAGAATTTACTGAAAAAAATGAAATTATATCCTGTCTTCTTTCCAAATGCCAGCCTCCTTGTCCAATCCAGTAGGACTTTTTTATTGACATTTTTTATTTTTTTTCTAGAGCAAATAATGCAAAAATACTGTGAGGAATTTAATATATAACAATATTTGCTTTGTCTAGGAGTTCTGAAGGAAAAAAAACTTTCAGAATTATAACGTAGACTGCATGAGACTGCATACAAAATGAAAAATACGGAAGTATTTATAACAGACTGAAATGTGTCTAGGAATACAATGTACTGAAAAACTCTGAAAAAGAAATCACCATAAAGTTGTGAGTAGGCTGAGATTAAGAAACATAACATTGCTTGAAATCCCTGAAGGCAAAGACACAGAAGGTATTTTATAAAAATGGGTTATTAAGGTGCTGAGGACAGACAATTTCTACTTCCTTCTGCAATGGATCACAATAAATAAAATAATTAAAAATGAAACAAGATTTCTCACTCCGAAAAACAGAACTTTCTGAGCCCATTTCAGAGCATCAAGAAATTATGTCATACACAAGAATTAAGAGAGAATGCCTGCTAATATAAAAACACATGACACGTGATCTAGAGCTGTACATATAGTGACATAAGTAGCTGATGGGATAGGTGTTAAATGCTCTAATACATTGTATCTTGAATTAAAAACTCAAACTTCAAATGCCTCTGATGTTCTGTTAAGTGCACCAACTGGGTGGAAGGAGGACACAGACTCTGCATAGCCTCTGGCAAAGCACTGATGGCTGTACTTCAAAAAGCAAAAATGCACCTCTTCCCCACCCTCATCTAGCCATACCACCTCCAAATATACCAGGTACTTGCAACTCTCTGAGGTCTTGAACACAATGTTAAGTGCCTGACAATCTGTACTAGCAGCACAGTGAAACTGTAAAATGTTAAACTGGAATAGTGAACTTTGACCTAGAACAGTAAGTGGAGGGAAAAAGAAAAAAACCATATAAATTTATTTATTTATTTATTTATTTATTTAAATATTTTCTCTACAGGTTTTTACTGGTTTAATGGTATTAACATATTTGTAATGTTCTCCTGATTTAGCAAACCTGATATCATTTTACCAGATGCTAAAGTCCATATTAATCCTCACTTCAATCATGTTACAAAATCAAAACTTGTTTTTCCTTTTAATTCACAAAAACGCATTCATAAATACATCCTTCAAAATAAGAACTTTTAATATGTAATTTTATGATATGTAACAGTTAGAATTAGATTTTTAAATGGGATAGATTCCTAAGCAGAAAAGCCAGAGAAGGGCATAGTATGTGTACTCATGTCATTCTTGCATCTGTTCTTCCTGTTATTACAACACAGGCTGCTCCAGTCCTGAGAATAACTAAAATCTTTCCTGTGAGTCCATACTACAAGAATATTCACTCAGTTATAACAGTCATTCACTTTAGTACTGTTGGAACGCCAAATTCAAGACAATAAAGCCAAAATAGCGAGTGACTTACCCCATTTAAAGGAAATGTTTTCCATCCTAGTTCTCCGAGGGCAGCTGTAGTATCAAGCAACACAACTGAAAGTGGAAAAAGAAATGATATGTTTGTGGTGTTGTTTTGATTAGACATATACAAGTATAAAGTATAGCAAAGTATAAACCAATATGAACTGGACATATCAGCCAGGTACATCTGCTTAAAGCTATTAAAGCTTTAATATTAAAGCTTTAATGAAAACATTGGAGTATGAATATTCCAATACAATAAAAACATTTAAGCTTTTGAGGTTTACATTTCATTATCATGTGTCTCAGAAAATTTCACTCATACAAAAACTAAATCTTTTGCTGAAAGCATTGCCAAATCACAACACATTACTGATGCCTCATCATTCAATGGTGCCTGAATACGCAAGCATGATTTTGCAATCCTTTGCCTGGAAATCTAGAAAGCCTTCATGTGGAGTTGGGTATTAAAGCCAAGAAAATAAGGAAAAACATCTTCAAAAGAAAGACATTTGAAAAAAAACCACCATAAACTTTCAAGAAATAAATGCAAGTTATACAATGCACAAGTTGTATAATACAGAACAGAAAGACTAACAACATTGGAGTGGGTATTTTAGCTGGAGTATCACAATGCTGAAAGTTGTTATAATTATTTTGCAGATCTTCTGCCTTTTTTTTTTTTAATATATGACAGAATGAGCATGATTGTATATTACAAAATACTTCTGCACTATTCTAATATGTTAAATTACATTATCATCATATCTCTATTCCTGTCAGTAACAATGCAAAAATTATGCAGAACACAGCTCATAGCAATAAAGAAGCTGGCTGTAAACTAAATACGTAGTACATGAGACATCATACCTACGTGTACTACTGCCCTCTAATGGAATTGTTTAATCTGACCCTCTAATCTAATTTAAAAAATGTAAATTATGATTTAACATAAAATTAAGTATAGTATAGTGCAGCTGATTTTAATTGTCAAGTTACTATGTTTTGAAGGCTCAGTTCCTCCTTACAGCCCACAAATACCCATTCTCCTTCTGATAGCTAAATGATGGAGAAAAATTAAGCTATTAGTCTGGAACATGATACCACTTCACATACATTTTGGGGTTTTATGCTGTTGCACATTATCTTCCACCTTTTATCTGCACATTGATTATTTAGACAATAAACTCTACAGCTATCTATAATGTTTCTATAAAGCATTTACATCATTATGAGTAGATGTCAGGTCATGATTTTTTGCCGTATGGAATAGATACATCAGCATGCAAACTGTTGGGACTTGCCAGCTTCTTAGATGAAACTTGGCCTAACACCTTCATCTCTCGTATTAGTAGCAGTTAGAGTTCTATATTTGGCTGTATGTTGACTTTTAACTTCATATTGATGTAGCCTTATCAGCAAATTTACAGTCAGGTAAAAAGCTCAACAATCAACTAAATTTTTAATGATTTATCTGAAGAAATAAATGACATTTTAAAAAGGATACTCCACAAAGGGGAGGGTTCTACTCCCTGCTTCTTCAATGTTTCACCAGTTTATGAAGTTTTGTGAATAACTCAAAGACAAATTCAACCTTTTAATTTACACACCCTTTTATTTCCAAAATATTGAATCCCAGTCCCCACTAAGACCACTGCTTCTACCGATTACTTACAAAGCTGTGATTTATAGTTGTCGTAGTATTTGCTGTTTACATCAGGCTACCAAACTCTTGTTCCAGAGTCAGAATAGCATCTTCAAATTTGGTTACTGAAGCATCAGCTTCCTCTATCACCCTCCAAGCAACAATGTACTGGGGATCTGTCACCTCCAAAAAACTTAAGCCAGTGGTTTTTGACATCTCCTTTTCATAGCCAAGACCAAGTACTGGTTTCTGAGAATATTTCAGTTCATATTAGGAGTTTGTTTTCTTTCCTCCATGTCTTCCTCCCTATCTCTCAAGCAAACCCAGACAGCATGGGCAATTTATAAATATATTTGCTTCTCAACTGAGATTCTATTTTGCTATTTATCAAGTAATATCATGATGAAATTTTAATTCTTTCATACATAATTAAATAAATAAATAAATAAAAAACACTGGAAGTTACTGCAAAACCTATGGACCTGCAGGCAGAAACTGACTCTTGTAAGCAGTGTCAGGGTATAATATGCTGTTTCGCTTTCATGATTTTTGTGGTATCACGGCAGTGATTTAATAAATATCGAGGTATTCGAAACTAATACTTCGAAGGAACAAGGACCAAAATACAGGATGGAAAAGTAATTCATTTCTTCAGTGGAGGTTGAATTAATTAATTCCTTGCCTGAATTAATCCAGTACTACCTGAAAGCTCAAAGCTATATATTAAAAAAAATAAAAAGTGGTGTGAATTCATCACTGAAAGTACGCTAAATTTAAATGTACATGAACCATGTTCTAATATTTCATGTATATATTTACAAAATGATCCCCATCAAATAACTGACTTTGCTAAATACAATTTTTGATATATTTTTACCTACTAAGCATCTTTTATGGTCACGTATGCTGACCTATAGCCACCAAATCAGCTAGAACCTCAAACTGGAGAATTCAAACAACCAACCAGCAAATAACCAGAACTAGAACAGCAACACTTTCAAAGTCAGAAATGAAGATCATTAAAATTAAGGCTGCCATTGCAACAGGATTCCTATCAAAAGACATAAAAGAATTACCAGTCAAAAATGTGCAAATGATGACAGATCAAGTAAACAGTACATTTATGACAAAGAAATACAAAGCCCTGTAAAGCAGTGAAATCAACAGGAGCTGCAATACAAATGAGGACACAGATAAAGTAATAAAATCCTCACACACTTCAGTGATTTGGAGATATCTACACGATAGACTTCAGTGTGGGACAGATACCCGAGCTAGCTTTAAATGAGGTAATTAAGAAACAGTCTATCCCCAGCAGCACAGACCTGATGGCAGACAAATTTGCACTGCCAAGAAGCTTCCAACTCACAGCTCCTTGGCAGAAAATTCACTCTGCCAAAAAAAATCCAGAATAAGAGGAATGCTTGCATGTATACGTCCAACTCACATACAGGAATGAGCATCTCTTTGCTGGCTGTAGAATATTTGTAGCTTCTAAGGAACTGGAAATACACATGCACAGAGGCTGAAAAGAGACGGTAGACACTACACACAATGTTTAAAATAAGAACATTCTCCAAAAAGTTAATGGAACCAGGAAGCTATATTTACTGACCCTTGTCCCCATGCCTACTTGCTTATGCTTCTTTCTCTGTCTTAAAATGTCCCATTCCTCTTAAACGAGACTTCATGCAAAGAGGTCATTATGGACAAGCCATTAGCTGCCAGCATAAGAAAAGTGGATGCCTGGAACTACTGAAATTAATATTTATGAAAAAAACACCTATAAATAAATTGGTTGCAACTAAGCAATGTTATTGACATTTCTGACACTAACCTTCATCTGTAGGAGGCAGATCTTTGAGGTGATGCAGACTGTAAAACTTGCAGAGTGAACAAGAACAAAGAACATAGTTCTGCCATTAGTCATGCATGTCCCAATTCAGAATGAACTGAAGAACCTTTAAAAATCTTTTTCAATAAAAACAACTTAGATTTAGCACTTGCATTTCTTTCCTTAAGTAACTAAGCCAGGAATGCTGTCACTTGGACAACAATAATGTCCTGACTTAACATCCAACTATAAACCTATTGTTTTAGTTAACTTCATAGTTCATACATAGAATTTAGGTGTTCAGCTTTGTTTTCCAGTATATTCCTTAACAGATATTACACCATTATAACTCATCATGCCATAATGATTTTTTTTGGATGTGTCTTTCATTGCTATTATTAGACTTTACAATTGAAATTAATCTTTTTAGAAGTTTTGCCCAGTCCTGAGGGAACTGCTTTATTTAAAATTATGATGATCAGAGCTCTGAGGACTGGCAGCGTGGAATTTTAATACTGATTCCAAAATACTGCTCTGAAGATGAACTCCACAATCTTGTCTGTACAACAAAGGAAAAAGCCTTCCGAACATTCACGTCACCCACTTCTTTTCTCGTTTCTTCACACAGCTGCAGACAGTCTGACCTAAGAGTTTTAAAAGCATTAAGGATTTCAGCCAAATTACTTCACGGATTCATAGTCTGACATCAGAATAGGCTATCAGATCACCTAGACTGACCTTCCACTCATTATAGACTAATATATTTCACCATTACCTCTATATTGGGCTTGATAGCATACTTTTTTAAAAAAAAAAAAAAACTTTTTTTTTTTTTTTTCCCTGTCTAGGTATGTTGTAACAACTTGCTTGCCCTGGCAGCACGCTTGCCTTAGCTGTCTGCTGGCTGGGTTGGCCAGCAAGCCAATGCCAGGTTCACGGATGTAGGATCTCTCTGCTGTGCAGGGTAAAAGATGCACAAATAGCAGATGGAAAGTTTCACTGTCTTCCAGTAGGGCAGTTATGACTGATGATATCCTGAGACACACAAAACTGGCACTATTTTTTTGCTCTGAGAACTTACTTATCAACTGTAATCAGTTCACATTTAGAAGATGAACACCCTGAGCTTCTCAAGTCTCTCACTTCCAGCCCCCAAGACAGTTGTTACAACTCTCTTCTGAAGTGACTGCACTCTTTCAATTTTGATGGCCTTTTTCATTTTTTGAAACAAGGATCACCTAAAGTATTCTGAAGTCATTCCTTCTAACAATACTCATTAAGATAAAGAACCTTCCCAATTTTCATATCCTGTTTGTATATCCCAAGTCACATCAGCCCATTTTTTACGGCAGCACAGCTCTCATAGGCAGCTACTAATCTATCAAGATCACTGTCCTTTGCTGAATCGCTCCTTTTCACCATTATTTTTCAATTCAGGTTGCATTTTTCTTCTTGAGCATACAAAGATCCATTTGTTTATATTAAAACACATTTTACTTTTAAGGGCTGACCTTTACTAAGTGATACAGGCTGGTTTCTGTCTGCACATCCTCTTTATTTACTTAGCACTCTGTTACTCTTTTGTCAGCTGCT